AAAATAATAGCCAAAGATGAGTTAAAAAAAGATAGGGACAAAAATGAATAAATTAAATAGCCAAACAAAATGTTAGAATATCGTTTTATTATCGATATATTTGTTATTTTGATGAAATTTTATTTTTTATTTTTTAATCACTTATCATAATTTTATCAATGAAAGGTATACTTTTTTAATGAATAAAAAATAACATGCAAGTATATTGGTTACTTTCTTTAATTTTATTTGTGTTAACAGACAGACAAAAATGATAATAGTGATAAGATAATAGTTGACTTATTTTATTATCTTAATTGATAAAATCTGTTATGATTACTGTTCACTATCAAATTTCGATTAGTTTTAACGAATAAATAATGCTAGAAGGGAAACTTTCAATTTTATCATATTTAAACAGTTATTTGTAGACAAAGAAGAAGAACAAACAGGAAGGAAATATTTAGGGACATAGGTCAGGGTACTATTATTTACTGGGGTCAAGAAAGGTGCTGATGGAATAGTATACACTCTAATCCTCTTATCAATGTTTGCTTGTGAGCCTTTACTATGCTAGAAATTAATAAAACTAAAAATGTGCCAATATTCCCAGCCTTTCTATCTTTAATGCTTTTCATTCGTTAACAATGAAATGTCAATCATTGCAAAAAAAAAAAAAAAAAGCTTTTACTTTAATACTTTTTTAGGGATCAGAAAAAGAAAATGAATAAATCATATCGAATTTACTAGTAATTTATCATTTTACAAATTTATCAGCTAAAGAAAAATTTTTTATCAATGCAAATTTATCAGCTAAAGAAAAATTTTTAATTATCGATAATCAATAATGGTATCCTGTAACTGTGAATAATTTGTGATCCCTAGAATATAGTTTTTTAGATAGTTTATCAAAAAACAAAAGAAAAGAAAACAAAAATTTGATTTGTTAAATTTGTTAGTTTTCAAAATTTGTTATTCAGTTTTCTTTTTTCAGTTATCAGTTTGGGAAAAATTTTAGTGTTAAAAATAAATATTAATAATATTCCAATATAATCCACAAATGAGTTTTTATTTTCCACCGTTGCTGATATTTGCTTTATTCCTCGGATAATTCATATTGACAAAGTTCTTTGTTAATTAAATAATTGTATAATTAAATGATCATTTGTAATTTCGATTTACATTAGAAAACATTTTGATCGTTTATACTTTAAACATTTACTCCCTTTATGATAAACATCTGCAATTTAAAAAGAAAAAAAAAATTGTCCTTTCTTAGTTTAATTTTTTGATCCTTTTAATAGGTATCATGAAAAAATGAAATAGTAAACTAAATTGTTAAGCAATGTAAGCGGCTCATTCTTTTCATCTGTTCAGTCTTCTAAAATATTATTTTTGTAATGGTCATCAAAATGATCATCAAATGAGCATTTATCTTTGTTTTCATCTTTTCTCAAAAATATATTTACCGACCAATTTGCGCATTTACTATTGCGCCATTTGTGACCGCTCAAAAAAAAAAAAAAAAAAGGAGAAAAGAAAATGATTTATCAACATTTAAACATTTTTCCCTGTTTATTGATATATGAAATGGAAGGATAATAAGAGAATTAATGAAATATTAATGAATTGTTGGAATAACGATTGACAAATTTTTTCATTTAATTTGATACTTTGCTTGCATTTAACGTTTTATTCTAATGGAAGATTAAATGTTAATGGAAGATTAAATGTGCTTTCCTCTTTTTTTTTTGACTCCAATTAAATTTTCTAGAGGATTAATTAGTGAAATTAATTTATACCTTTAGTAATTTTAATCCTGTATTGTATAATTTCTGTTCATAATTGGATCAAAATAGAGAAAAAATTAAATTCTTTATATGGAAAATTTAAATTCAATTCTATTCAAAATGATTTTATTGCTATACTTTTAAAAAGAAAAAGAAAAATATGAAAGAGTGTGAAGCATTTGCAGCTGCTGATAAATCATTTAAATAAAGCAATAAATAAATGAATGAAACAATCGTTTTTTTTTTTTTGAAATAAATTTATATATCTTTGTTAGCTTAATCCCATTGTTTCTATTATTATTTTTTATTTTTCTTCTCCATACTCTAAGCATTTCTTTTCTTTCATATCAAAACTAAAGTCTATTTATCGTGGTGAAATGCATACCAAAGATTATGATAGGATAAGATATGACATAAAAAATGAAGTGGGATTAAAAATTGTCATTCAGTGTTGTCGTAAAAAATGAGCGCAAGGTCATTTGACATTGTTGTCTTTTAGCAGATACTGAAGAAAAAAAGAAAAAAGAAAAAAAAAAGGAAAGGAAGAAAGAAATAAGGAGAGATTGTGGAAGTATTATTTAAAAAAAAAAAAAAGTATTTTGTCAAAAAAAAGAAAATGTGAAATGCTTTAAAAAAAAAATGGGACAAAAAATGATATTTGAGATCAAAAATTTGTTATTGAGTGACAATTGTTTAGATATTGTCACCATAAAATATATAAAGTAATATATTGATTGATCATGAACAGATGATTATATAGAGTAATTAAAATAATCAGAAATGATAATGTTAATGATTGAGAGAAAATTATTATATAATGGATTATCACCTAAAAAAAAAAATGTGTATTACAATAAACGGAACTTTTGGATCATATAAAAATTATTTTTAATTATTAAAATATAAAAACTACTATATTGCATAAAAATTATTCAATTGCATCCTTTAGTTTATTTATGAAAAAATGTTTTATAACAATATTAATAAGTACTAGATTATATAAGATTTTTTTTTCCTTTTTCTTTATCTTTTATAAAGTATTATTTAAACTATTCGTTTATTACATTCTATAGAATAGGAAAAAATTTTAAAAAAAAACTAATTTACATATTTTTACTTTATTATTTTCTTTTTTTTCTTCTACCATTAAAAAAAAAGAAGAAAAAGCAATAAAGTATTGCTATATTCTATAAAATTAACCAATATCAGTAATCGTTATCTTATATGATCCAATATCCCATCAACATTTTATCACTTTATTTCCTTTTACATTTCCTTTCCGCTTTTATTCATACATATTTAATTCTTTTTTTTTCTTCTTTTTTGATGTAATTATTATTATATACGAGCGAATTTAAAATTTCAACAATGAATTCATATATTATTAATAATATTTATTTTATTATCAAATTATTTGATGTGATTATGAATAATTTGTTTGTATCATTTCTACAATAATTTCTTTTTATCTTTTATACATTTCTTCTCTCTCTCCCTCTGTTTCTTGTAATTGCTTGAATTATTTCCCTTTTAGCATAAATGCAATTACAAATTCCTTTGCATACCATTTCGTTGATCGTTTAATTTTATTTTATGATCCATACATATACTTTTGAAGTGGTACCATTTTTCATATAAACCTCTCAAAAGAAACTTTTGTCATTTAGGGATGCGGAAAATGTCACTTTAAGATGAATTATGAAAATAATCACTAAGATTAGTCAATAATGTAAATAGAGATTAAAGTTCAAAATTAATTTTTTTTTTTGCACATCGATTTTAAGTAATTTATAAATCTAATAAATGGAAAATGAAAATTTTTTCTTTTTTTTTTCGAGGATATATGATGAATAATAATTGATAATTGATTAATTATTAAATATTTTCACATTTAATTTCAAAACATCAAACGTTCATTTCATTTTTGCCTATAACATATAATTTCAATGATTCATTGATCTAAATTTTTTGTACTTTTATGTGAACAAAATTTTGTAAATAAGAAATTTATTTAAATTTTTGGATTCATATCCTTTACTCATATTATCATTTCCTTAATTAATTATTGATGGTAGGGAAATATTATTGATAAGATAAGCAATAATGATATTACTGATTAAGTTTCAAACTAGTGATAATTTTTTAAATGTACAATTAACAAAAATTATATTTTCTGCTAATCATTACTCCATTTTCAGCTAACTTTAATTAGCCTTATCAATTGATAAGCTTCATTTGAACAGAATTTGGATGAATAAATAGTTTAAAGGATTGAATTCAAATAAAAAGCTCTGTGAAAATGCTTGAGAATAACAAAATCACGTAACGAACTTTACGTAGAAGCAACACGTAAAAGCTAATATCGTTGTAGAATAGGATGGAGATAACTCTGATAGCTTAATTAATACTTTTCATTCATTCATTAACTTACTTTCCTAATATACAGTATACTTTTAAGTAAACAAGAATGAATGAGAAGATAAAAGATTGAATGCTTCATTAAAATTCATTTTAAAATTGATTCAGTAGTCATTCATTCATCATTTCCTGTTATTCATTAATGCAACTTATTATAAATTCTCGAAGTGTCTTTTGTCAACTGTTACGCATCTTTTACGTCTAAACATGATTGCTCATTTCCTAAGTTAGATAATTTCTTCCCAAAATTTAAATTTTATACAAAATGATACACGCAAATATACATTACTCATTTACAATCTTTGAATTGATTTAAAAATTATTTTACATTTATTATAATTATTATTATTCCAATAATTTATTTCTCTTCATTATTATACATTACATTATTTTAATAATTTTTTTCGTCGAGGAAAAAGAGGAAAAAAAAAACAATTTTAAAAAAGTAAAAGAAATTTGGGAAATTAAAAAAACAAAAGCGAATAATCTAATATGACATTTTTTTCTTTTTTTTTTTGGTTCGAAATTAATCCAAAAATATTAACTTGCATAGAAATGGTTGACAATGATTGATTGAAAGGATAAATTAAAAAAAAAAAAAAAAAAAAAAACGATGAAAAATTGTTTATTAATGAAGCGAATCTAATTTCTCGAACTTTCTCTCTTTCTCTTTTTTTTTTTCACTAATATTTCAAATTTTTTTTAACAAAATAATACTTTTTTAACAGAATAAAAATTTTTTAATGTAAATTCATTTTAATGTTATTAAAATAATTTCAGTGTACTGCAGCATGTCAGGAAAATACACTGGATATGAAAGGATGTCAGGAAAATATTTGTAAAGTAAGACTGTTGATTTAAAAAATTTTATAATTACTTAAATTTTGCTAGAAAGTGAAAAGTTTAAATGATTGCTAAAATTAATTGATTATTGCAATTAATGCATATTAACAATCAAATTATATTGGTGAGAAAAAAAAAAAAAAAAAAACCATTTCATTTTTTGAAAATTTTGTCTTAAAAATTTTTGATTTTTTGAAGTAAAACTTTTGTTTTTGAAGTTTAAAGTATTTCAATAATTTATAATTAAAATAATAATTTTTTATAGCATGTGAGAGAACCAGAAACTTGTAAACATTCCTGTATTTATTTACATGAAATATATCGAAATAAACCTGGAATTTGTCCTAATAATTCACATTTGGCTCCTTTTAATGTATGTTTTATTTAGTTATAATTTTTCTTTTTATTTCTTTTTTTTTTTTTTGTTTCTTCGATTGCAAAAATAAGATTTATTAGGAAAATTTATCCATTAAAATGAATTAAAAAATAATTAGTAATAATAATAATTTTAAATAATCAATTTCAAATATTTTTCAAATTGGACAAGTACTATCAAGAAAGTTATTCATTAAAACTTATTACAAAATAATTAATAATAAATTAAATAAATAAGTGAATAATTCAAAATTATTTATTAAATAAAAATTGAATATTTATGAATTATCCTGTAGTAATTTCAGGAATGTACAGCATTATGTCACTTAGATGGTGACTGTCCGGAAACGAAGAAATGCTGTGTTGAAGGTTGCAGTAGACAATGCTTAAAACCACGTGGAAAAGATTTGAATCTTTTGCCAATTCCTACCAGTATCAGTGTTCAGGAACGGAAACGGAAAAGGTTTATTAAAAATTATATTATTGAAATAATATGAAATTATTTGAATTATTAATTAAACCATCAAATTTTTAGATTATCAAATAAATTAATATGTAATGAGAAAAATTAAGAAAAACAAAATATCTATATGTCATAGCTTTAAATAAATTAATATATAAATAACAAAATTAGGAATAAAAATAAGTCTAATATATCTTAAATAAATTGATAAGCAAGTAAACTGATTAATGGATAAATAAGTAAATTAAGAGTAAAAATAAGTAAAATAAATGGATAAGTAAATAAACTGATTTATGAATAAATAAGTAAATTGAAAGTAAAAATAAATACAATATAGGTTCGAATAAATTAACCAGCAAATAAACTGATTAATGGATAAATAAGTAAATTAAGAGTAAAAATAAGTAAGATAAACTGATAAGTAAATAAACTGATTAATGAATAAACAAGCAAATTAAAAGTTATAATTAAATAAACAAATAAGTAAATTAAGAGTAAAAATAAGTAAAATAAATTGATAAGTAAATAAAGTAATTAACAAATGATGTAATATAACTTAATTAGGTCAGTAATTGTTCGATGGGTGATGCAACAAATGAGTCGCTCACAGACAAATTCAAATGCTAATTTATATGTAATACAATGGAGATGGAGTTTACATAAAGATGGTACTTCAATAAGCGATTGGCAAACAATTGTTACTGTATGTTATAAATTTTCCTCATCAAATAACAATAATAATAATATAAATATATTAAACAATTTCTTTTTCTTATCATCTAAAAGCTAATATTTACATTCAAAGTTTAAAAATTAAAATTAAACTTGAAAAATAATTAGCTGACATAATTACTGCATATATTACAAATTTAAAACTAAAAAATATAATGGAGTAAAACAGTAATAAAGAAATTATAATTTATAGATTGAAAAAAAAAGAAATAAATTTTTTTTTTTAAATATAAAATTTATGGTATGTAAATAATTGAAATAATTTTAGAGGAATAAAATGTATGCTATTTTAAAGCATTTACTTGCACCTGGTAGATATTATATGTTTCGTGTAGCAGCTGTTAATACCTATGGTAGTTTGGGTTTCTCAAAAAGTAGTCAACCATTTAAACTTTCAAAAGGTATGCAAATAGTTTTTTCATTTATAAATTTATTCATTTATTTGTTGTAGTTCAAAGGAAAAAAGTAAGAAAAAATTTTTAAAAATTTTTCAAATTTAGAACCTCAAGCACCTGGACAACCACTTGATTTAACATTGGATAAATCAGAAATTGATGAACAAAATTTTTGGAAACAACGAATCAAATGGAATCCACCGCTTTCTGAATTACCAATCAAAAATTACATTGTAAAATATTAAATAACTTTTTTTTTTACAAAAATAATTGAAATAATTTGTTTAAAAAAAAATTTTTTTTTAAATAAAAAATAAAAAAAAATAGGAAATCAAATAAACTTTAAAAAAAAAAGAAAGTATAGTATAATAAAAAGTTTTAGTCTTGTTCTTCTTTTTTTTTAATTAAATTTTTTATTTATTTAATGAAAAAAAAAAAAAGATTTTCTTTATTAATTAATAATTATAACACAATATTTTATTAATTTAATTTCTTCAAAAAACAATGATTTTAAATGAAATATTTTATTATAGCTTTCATGGCAAAAATCAACATTACAACAAGCAATTGCATATGATAAAATGTTAAAACGACGATTAAATATTGAAAAACAAGAAAAACGATCAGCGACAGATGACGATGACAACGACGCCGACGACGATGACGACGACGAGGACATTGATGACAATAACGATGGCTTTGTGGATCGTGAACGAATGTCAGTTGTGATACCAGCATATCATTCATATGCTGATATCAGTCAATTACAACTTCAATCTGTTTATTTAGTTGAAGTTTGTATTTATTTCATTTATTAGTTAATCATTTAAAAAATATTTCAATTTCTTGTTCTTTTATTTTTTGAAAATACAATAATTAATTGTTGTGATTGCTTAATGCAATATAATTTTTATTTTATGATTTATTGATATAATAAATTTATTGAAGAAAATACTAATATTAAACGTAATATTTAATTAATTCTTTTTTTTTTTTGATGTTTAATGATAGTTATTCTTAATTAAGCAATCATATAGCTTATCATTTAAAATTTCCTTGATTTCCTTATCAAAATTAACATTTTTACTACTTTTGTAACATGAAAAATACCTTACTGATCTATTTTTATATCTGCTAATCAGTACAATTACAGATTTACGCTATAGTTGACTCATCAGATGGTGAATTACACGGTGAAAAAGCAATAATTTACGTGAAAACTGGCGCAATGAACGTTAATAAAGATGGATATGATAGTAATAATACTACCATAACTACAACGATTCAATCTCAGCAAATGAAATTAGAATCTGAAAATAAACTGCAAAATAATAGATTGGAAAATTTATCTGATATCAGAACTGATATGAAAATGGAAATGTTGGACGTTAGAGCACCATATTTTGATGATAATAATTTAAAAACTGTAGTAAGTTGGTTCAGAAATGGTTTATGTAATGGAACAAGAGTCAAATATACAGTAAGGTAAGCTTTAGAAATCTATAATTTTAATTTAAAAGAAAGGAAAGACTTGTTGATAATAAACTGCAAAAAAAAAAAAAACTAAAAATTTTTTGTTTTAATAATTCGTGACAAAAAGAGACAAGCTAATAATTTAAAAAGCTAATTTATCAGTGATCTTTCTAGATGGCGTTTATTAATGTGTCAAACAAAAGATGTTAGTAAACGTATCACTTATTATGATCTTGATTCATCTGGTGAAGATTGGGCGCAAATGGAAGTTCAAGAATGTGTCGCAGTATTGGAAGATCTTGATTTTAAATGCTCATATAATGTTGAACTTGTTAGCACTAATGCCAAAAAGGTTATTAAATTAAACAGATTATTCAAATATTCTGATAAATTATTCAAATAATCATATGTTAACTAATAAAAATATTATTTTATAGGTTGATATTTTCTTGGCTTAAATTGAATTAATATTTTACTATTTCAGATTATTGCAAAAGGTCATTTTGAGACACAAAGTTGCGAGAAAACTCCATCAACAATTACTCTAATTTGTAATGATCAATCAATTTCTCAATCACTCGTCTGCATGACTAATTGGAGAAATAATTCGGTACAATGCAGTTGGAAAAGTAATAATAATAATAATAATGTCACAGGAAAAAATGTTGGTTATCGAATTGTACTTAGTAAATCTGATGAAGTGAACAATCAAATAATAATTATTCCACCACAAACTACCACAATTCAATTTGATAAACTTGAACCGGATCGTGATTACTTTGTTCATGTACAAACGATTACAAGTAATGGTGTTGGTAATACATTAACAACATCATTTCGAATTAATCGAAATAAGACTTCCGAGAAATATTCAACAGTTTTTTCATCTGATTATCGTCGAAATAATACTTTATCTCATATTAGTAACATAATTGTGGATCATACAAATAATGATCAAATATCACAGAATATTGATTTGCAATCAGTGATGGAGGAAGATAATGAATTTTTGTATAATGATGAAAGGTTTCCAGGTGCTACAATACTTGAATTACCATTAGAAAGTGTTGCATCAGATGTAATCAGGTGGACAACTTTTTATTTCATTTGTATCAGTATATTGTTAAGATATTTGTTATTTACTGATAATACATTATGATAATGTATGAAAATTGTACATTAATAATAAAAAAGAGAGAGATTTTTCAACAAAAAATTAATAATTTAAAATAATTATTAAAACTTAATGAATTTGAAATAATTGTTAAAATTTAATTTAACCACCTGTAATAATTTTTTCTTTTTTAATTTTATTTTACAATTTTGATATGATTGATAATTTCGAAAAAAAAAAATTGCTTTTTATCTCTCTCTCTCTCTCTCTCTCTCTTCATTAGGAGTTCAATTTATTTTTTATCATTACATTTGTAATTTTACATAAGCTTCAGGGTATATCAAAGTTTGTTTTTCCTCTTTCGCTTTCTCTCTCTCTCTCTCTCCCTCTCTCTCTCTCTTTTCTGTTCTTCATGAAAAGGAATTCTCTTGGTTTTTGAATATTAAATGAACAAAAGAAAAAATATGCAAAATGAAATTTTGAAAAATTGTAGTTCATAGCAATTTATAAAGAGAATGAAACCGGAAAGAGTATTAACCGGAAAGAGTATTAATTACAGTGATATGTACATAATTCGCTTTTGTCACATTGTTTTAATATTTGTCACATAATTGCTTAAAAGATCGAAATAATGAAATCTTCCTGTATTATCATATAAGCAACAAATATAAAGTGCTAATAATATTTTTGAAAAGAAAAAATATACATAGAATTTATGAAATTTGCATGAGGAAGTAAAGTATATAAAGTATGTTTATTAATTACACAGCAATGAGGAATAAAACACAGGTAGAAATATACAGGTGGGACAAAAATATAGAATAGAATACAGGTAGAGTAAAATAGAGAGAGTGTAGGAGAATAAAATTATGGTAGAAAAAAATTTGGATAGAATATAGGTAGAATAAAATAGAGATAGCATACAAAGGTGGAAAGAATATAGGTGGAATAAAATATAGATAAAATAGAGGTAGATGTATAGAATAGAATAGAAGCAGGTGGAACAAAAATATAGAATAGAATACAGGTAGAGTAAAATAGAGAGAGTGTAGGAGAATAAAATTATGGTAGAAAAAAATTTGGATAGAATATAGGTAGAATAAAATAGAGATAGCATACAAAGGTGGAAAGAATATAGGTGGAATAAAGTATAGATAAAATAGAGGTAGATGTACAGAATAGAATAGAAGCAGGTGGGACAAAAATATAGAATAGAATACAGGTAGAGTAAAATAGAGAGAGTGTAGGAGAATAAAATTATGGTAGAAAAAAATTTGGATAGAATATAGGTAGAATAAAATAGAGATAGCATACAAAGGTGGAAAGAATATAGGTGGAATAAAGTATAGATAAAGCAGAGGTAGATGTATAGAATAGAATAGAAGCAGGTGGGACAAAAATATAGAATAAAATACAGGTAGAGTACAGGTAGAATATAGATGAGACATATGGATAAAACAAGATATAGGTAGAGAAAAATGAAGATAGAAAAAAAATTTATGACAGTTGACATATATGTGAATAATTCAAGAAGAATATCTGTGACAAATTTGTTGACAAGGTTAGGTACAGAGGAATGTGATCTAACTTATTCCTGATATATTTATTACGATTAATCTTGCATCCGGTATAATCCATTGCAATTCTGGAATGCTACAAATGATTGTTCCTGAAAAAGAATCGGATAATCGGTAAATGTTAAAAAAAAGAAAAATATGGCTAAGAGAAGCAAATTAGGAGAGAATTTAATCTTTCTGATTTAAAACTGCATTGTAAGGATGAATGATATGGAAATTTTTTTTTTCTAAATTTGCAAATTTCTAAATTTTCAAATAATAAATGATTGATCTAAAGTAATAATTAGTTTAAAGTAATAACTTAAGAATAATAACATTGCTCTCCATTTTATTTTTATATAAAATGTGAAGAATTTCCGATGATTAATTAATTAGCTTTTACAATCTAATAGAAGAAATATAGAAAATATGTGTTATAATTTCATAAATGCCTTCCATTTTCTAAATTTTTTTTCATTTACTAACTTATACCAATTAAGTATAATAGAATTGTTCTCTCATCAATGATTACGTTTTTGCTTTTTGTTCATTAATTAATTAAAATATAATTTAGTCGATTAAATCAATCCTGCATAACAATTAATTACACTTTTACAAATATTCTTTAGAAGCATGTAAAGATCAAAATATTTCCATTAAAATAACGTGCAATCGCCCAAACCTTACGTAACGCTTCTACGTTACGTGAATTTCTTACGTTTTTTTTTTTTTTTTTTTTTTTTAATGCATTTGCAAATAATTTATGAGAAAAATCAAACCGCTTGATCTAATTAATTACTTCACTTTCATTTTAAACAAATAAAAATAGTATTTGATCCGTTAAATTTGAAAAAAAAAGAAAAATGAAAAAAATTTACATTTATAAAATGAGTTAAACATAGTTTGTTTTATTTATTTCACTTCTTAGATATATAAATATCAAAAAATAAATTAATTCGATTGAATGAAATATGTACTAAAATATTTAATTCTCATTACTGCAAAAATAGTAACAAAAATGAAATTTAAAATGAAATGAAAAAGTGAAATTCCTTGTTCAATTCAATTTATCAGTGGAAATATTATATGCTATTATGAATTCAATTCATTATTTCACCAATATCATTTAAATTCAATCAATTTAAAATTTATCAAACAATAGCAAAATGTTGTTGTTATCACATTAAACATTTAAAAAAAAAAAACATATATGTGAAATGTTTATTATAACTATGGTACTTTGCTAAATTTAAGAATTTATTATTCTCCAAGAATTACTTTATAACAAAAAAAAAAAAAAAAAAACTTACAATTACTTCATGCAACAATGATTCAAAAAAGTATTCAAAAATTAGGTTTGAACTAGAGAACAAAAAAAGACGTGACGTACACGTGATATACGTAATATCTAAACAAAAAGATTGCAAAAGTTGTAATCATCTAATTACATGGTAATAATCTTGTCAGATACTGAAAATTTCATACTATTTAAAATATCCAACGAAATATTTCACAAACAAATAATTAAAGTTAAACTAACAAATAATTAAAATTTAATTACCACTCAGAAATACCAAAATTCGAAATTCTAGACAACTGATAATTAATTAGGGTAAACAATTCATAAGTAAATGTAATTTTCAATAACATGAATAAATAGTGTGCAACAAAAAAAAAAAAAATGTTCCAAATACAGATCAATTAAAAAAGTTTCTCAGTTTAGGACTGCTAACAAACCTAAAATAATACTTTGAAAATTGTCAGTAAATGAAATTTGTAAGAAATAATGTTTTATATGATGAGCTAGTAAAATATTTATTACAGATCGAAACATTTAGATATTAAGTGATCAAATAAAATTATTTACTTGACCGTTTATATATGAAATATTTAGATGGAAGTATTTTTAGATTAACTAAACATAAGTTCAATTCATTTTAGTTTGCACTCCTTAAAAATATTTGACTGGAAATTATAATGAAAATGATTTAATTGATTATACAAATATTATGATAGCGCTAAAAGTTTTATCATAATTGCTAATCAATTACTGTTAATTCTTGTAACTTTTCACAAAATTTTTGATTTTTTTATCAATTGATAGTGCTTCCTTACTTTTCAATTAAAAGTCAATAATGTTAATAAAATGCATAAATTAATTATATTTTATATTTTACTTGATTTTTTTTTTTAATTCACGAAATTAATAACTTTTTTTTCATTTAATAATGCTCAACACTTTAATAAACCTTCTCAATAATCACTTTTTTATTTTAGAATTTAGTAATTTATTTAAATTAATAATTCCATTTTAATAATTCTTGTCAGTATTATTGCAAATCATTTCTTTAATTTGCTACATTCCGGTTTTTTAACTTTTTCGGACAATATCAAAGAAAATAAATAACTATAAAAAAGAGAGTTCCTAATAAAACTCTCATTGAAAGGAATATTCCAGAGATTAGATCATATTAATCAGAATAAGAATACCTAATAAAACTTATCATAAGGTAACAAAAATACTGTTAACATGATAAGAACGTATTGTTATTACATAATCAAATATTGTGTAAATAATATTTACGTTTCATTTTTCAAAAAATTTCTCTCTCCCTCTCTTCTCTCTCTCTCTTCCTCTCTCTTTCAAAATACTATTAAAACATATGAAATACTTATGAGATTAAAATTTTTTCTGCTATCAAATTTCCACACTTTTCTATATCAGTGAATAATCAAAACATATCAAATTTTTGTATCAGATTAAAATAAATTCAAATTCAAGAAATGAAATTGCTATGGTACTCAATCCAATTAGATCTATTTACGATTGCTAAAGTATAAATCAAAATTGAATAGCTGTTGTCAACAACTGATATCATTTCTGATAAAGGAATTATAAGTAATAAAAAAGAAATAATTAGCTTTTAATCTACTTACTTTATTTTATTGCTTTTACTAAAACTTCTTCCGTTTTATTTTTGTAACATTTTTACTATTCAAGCTAATAAACAAACAATTTTATCGATTAGCTAATTAATAATTTTATCGTTGTTTTAACTTTTAAAATAATATTTTATTCTAAAATAAAATTGCTATCAAAATTTATTTCAATTATTAAGCACATGCAATGATAGTTCTCGTATCATTTTATTTTCACAAATGTCAAATGATTGTTTTCAATAGATGTGACACCGAGACAATGTGACATTCAAATGTTAAGTAATGATAATAATATCATTTGAAATGAGAAATATTCATATTATTATTTATTCATTAAATTAATTTAAACCGCTTTACAATCCTTCTTTTTTGCAAGAATTAACGATTTTAGTTAGAAAAAAAGTGAATTAAAGATCAGTGAATGATTTGATAAATTCTAATCAAATAAATCTAATCCAAATGAAATGATAATGTTTACTAAAGTGATAAGATATCAATTGAAAAAAAACAATATTTCAAATAAGTAAATTTATCATTTAGAAATTTGAT